CCGTATCCTAGTTTTTTTTAAAATGCCTTATCATCGTGTTCGTATCCAAGTATCGCCGTGTCCGCGTATCCGTGTCCGTGCTAGCTTAGGTGTCATTAAAGCTCTTCAAGTTGGCACAAGTTCGGGTTCTCTTATACGATTTGGCGACTTATAAATATTTTTTACAATTCATAAATATACCACTGTATTTCTATAATTTATAAATATACCCCTATATTTTTTTTATTTACATGTATCCCCTCGTATCCGTATCCTAGTTTTTTTACCGTATCACCCAGTCCGTATCCGCATATCCGTGTCCGTGCAGCATAGCTTAGGTGTCATTAAAGCTCTTCAAGTTGGCATTCAAGCGGAGTTTATGTGTGGACGAGTGTTCGCTTTTGGCGAAAGTAATAATTCTTTGTGTCATTTGTTAATAAAAAAAAGTAATTAAAAAGTTAAGAAGTCTGTCAGACAGCTGCTCGACCACCCCGGCCAGCCAAAGCTAGCCGAGAACGATCCTCTACTGAGTCAACTGGGCCGAGCCAGTGAGTCTATTAATCACGCTCTGGTCGAGCAGACCTGGTTCATCCACCAGACTTAGTTTCCTGTCTCCTTAGAAGTCAAGGATACAGAGGTACGAGCCTATAGAACAGATCCTGTTCAAGTAAGGTCGTGTCCATGAGGGCTGCGTTAGCTGTATAAATACGTCTTCATTATTTAGTATTTTTCCAATGTGGGATTTAACTCTGGGCAAACTTAATTAATTCACTTTTTCCACTAATTAAACAGATGTTATTCTCCAAGGTTATTTGAACAATTTCTCAAGGAATTAATTTTATTCATTTATGTTTTATTTATTAATAACTTACATTCTACAATATTGACAAATCAACTACTATTACAAGTAAACTATATATTACCAGTATATACACATACATATAGTTTGTTAATAAAAACTCAAATAGGCCAAACAACTTTAAAGTATAAAAAATCCATATGTGAAAGTAATCAAAGAGTAATAAAACGTACATTGTTATTATATAATTGTTACAAAGATAAATATTCCATTAGATAGCACTAACAATCGGACTCAATCCCAATTTGGAATCGTTTGAAGAGTTAACTTGAAGTCTGATTCGGGCATCAGATCAGAATGCAAATCGGCGATAGCGGGTACAAACATATCAATATCAAAATCAAGATCAAAATCAACGATAGCACATACATTGGTAGCAATGAGGCCGGCAAATCAGCAATAGATGCTCCAACGACGGCAACAATGATATATATGAGGGGCCACAAGATTTTTACATATTTCATATTTTACTTATATATTTTAGGTAACATTATTTATCTCATATGTTAGATAACATTACTTACTTCATACTTATAAATGTTAGGACAAAGTGCACTTTGCCCCCGAGAAATTTCTAGTTTTCGCACTTTCACCCCTATAAATCTAAAAATGAGATTCTCTCCCTTCCAAATTTTGTTATAGTTGCATGTTGCCCCAAATGGGACTTTCCGGCCTACTTCTCACCGGTTTTTCATATCTTCATCAATTTTAAGGGCATTTTCGTCATTTCACCAATCCCTCCTAAATATTAATATTGTTGAAAAACTCAAATGCTGAGATGAGTTCTGATTTTGATGCTGCATCAATATCGATCCAAGCTGCAACGGGCTGGATCTTCCGCCTTGGAAATCGAGGTTGTCGGAGTAGTTGAACCTTGCATAAATTGCATTGGAGCCTGCACAGTGTTCCCTCTGCCGCCGCGGCCGTAGGGGTTTGCGAATGGCCACATCTGGGCCGCCTTGAACGGGCCAGAGGGTGAGGGGGTGTTGCCGCCATTATTGCGAAAATATGAAGAAAAAAAATGGGTGAAAAATACGCCGGAAAGTCCTATTTAGGGCAAAGTGCAACTATAACAAAATTTGTAAGGGGGATATGCTCATTTTTTAATTTGAAGGGGGCAAAGTGCGAAAACTAGAATTTTCTAGGAGCAAAGTGCACTTTGTCCTAACTATTATCCAAATATATGTGAAATAAAAAGATGGAAATGGTGTTCGGCATATTCTGATGGAAATGGTGTTCGGCATAGAGATAACATAATACCTAATTTAAAGCCTCATTCATAACACTCTTCCTCAAGCTGGAGTGTATATATCATATCCTCCTAGCTTATTACATTGCATTCAATACACGTCCCATAGAACTTTAGTTCGAAAATTAGTCAATTGATCATTTGAGATTAGGGGTGGTAAATGAGGCGAACCGATTCGTGAGCTCGATGAGCCGGCTCGAAAAATGCTCGAACTCAGACTCGAGTTTTTCAAGCTCGAGTTCGCGAGTTCAAGTTTTTTTGACGAGCCGAGCTCGAGTCAGTTTTTAGTTGTTCGTGAGCTCACGAGACGGCTCGCGAGCCTTATTTTTATTATTATTATTATTATTATTATTATTATTATTATTATTATTATTATTATTATTATTATTATTATTATTATTATTATTATTATTATTATTATTATTTTATATATATTATTTTAAATAATGTATAATAATTATTATTATTATTATTATTATTATTATTATTATTATTATTATTATTATTATTATTATTATTATTATT